TGTTGGAACACCTGTTTTCAACTCTCCTGGGTGGATAACTGAGTTTCTCCATCCTCATCCTGCCACTTTTGTTGATGATGAGCCTATTTGAACTGTTTGATGGGTGAGTTTTGTTAAGAAGGAAAAAGCAGGAGTTTGGGACTTGCTTGAATGAGGCCTGAGAGGGAAAAGATAAAGAGCACCTTGGCCATGCTGTAGAATAATAAGGGGCGAGGGTCTCTAGAAGGGAGGGCAGGAGCAGGAGGAGAAGGTGCTAAAATGGGTTGGCAATGATTTTGAGCTCGGTAGATGGAATAGGAATGGGACTTGTCCAGAATTTATAAAATGTCTGTTGATATTTTTCTACCTTTTATAAGGAAAAAAAAATCTCTGGTGGAGATGAGAAGATGGCCTAGGAGAGGGCTAAAGGAAAGTGAAAATGGTCTGGCCAAGATGGTGGCATAGTAGATATACTTTGCCTCCTCGCACAACCAAAAGAAGGACAATAAAAAAATTAAAAACAAAAAACAATCAGAACTGCCGGAAAATCAAACTGTATGGAAGTCCAGCAGCCAAGGAGTTAAAGAAGAAACATTCATTCAGGCTGGTAGATGGGGCAGAGACAGCCAGGTGGAGAGGACACACGGCGAGGTGGTGGCTGGAGGACTGGGTGGGTGAGATGGTGGCTGGCAGTCTCACATTTGCCTGCAAATAAACTGGGAAGAAAACAGGGGAGCAAGACAGATAGCACAACCCAGGGTTCCAGTGTGGAAAAAGAAAGCCTCAAAACCTCTGATTGTAAAAACCTGTGGGGGTTCTGGTGGCAGGAGAAACTCCCAGCCTCACAGGAGTGTTTGTTGGACAGACCCACAAGGTCCTAGAATGTACACAAGCCCACCCACCCAGGTATCAGCACCAGAAAGGCCCAATTTGCTTGTAGGAAGTGGGGGAAGTGACTGAAAGCAGGGTGAGAGTCAAGCAAGCAGCATTGTTTCCTCTCTGATCCCTCCCCCACATAGAGTGCTACAACCCAGTGTGAGTTGCCATGCCATGGCAAATACTTGAGGCTCCACCCCTCATAACGTAACAGGTGTGCTGGCACAAAGAAATATGGCCCAAATGAAAAAGATCAAAACTCCAAAATTAGAACTAAGCGATGAACAGATAGTGTATCAGATGCAGAGTTCAAAACACTGGTAATCAAGATGCTCACAGAAATGGCTGAGTATGGTCACAAAATGAAGGACAAAGTGAAGGCTATGCAAAGTTAAATAAAGAAAAAATATACAGGGAACCAACAATGAAGGGAAGGAAACCAGGACTCAAATCAACGATCTGGAACAGAAGGAAGAAATAAACATTCAACCAGAACAGAAGGAAGAAACAAGGATTCAAAAAAATGAGAAGAGGCTTAGGAACCTCTGAGACAACTTTAAATGTTCCAACATCCAAATCATAGGGGTGCCAAAAGGAGAAGAGGAAGAGCAAGAAATTGAAAAATTATTTGAACAAACAATGAATGAGAACTTCCCCAATCTGGCCAAGGAAAAGACTTCAAAGAGATCCAGGAAGCTCAGAGAGTCCCAAAGAAGCTGGACCCAAGGAAGCACACACCAAGGCACATAATAATTACATTCCCCAAGATTAAAGGTAAGAAGAGACTCTTAAAAGAAGCAAGAGCAATTGAGACAGTTACCTACAAAGGAGTTCCCATAAGACTATCAGCTAATTTCTCAACAGACAACTTACAGGGAAGAAGGGGCTGGCAAGAAGTATTCAAAATCATGAAAGTCAAGGACCTACATCCAAGATGACTCTATCCAGCAAAGTTATCATTTAAAATGGAAAGACAGATAAAGTGCTTCCCAGATAAGGTCAAGTTAAAGGAGTTCATCATCACCAAGCCTCCAAGCCCTTATATGAAATGTTAAAGGGACTTATCTAAGAAAAAGAAGATCAAAAACTATGAACAATAAAATGACAACAAACTCACAACTATCAACAACTGACCCTAAAAAAAAACAAAAAAACCAACAACAAAAAGAAACTAAGCAAACAACTAGAACAGGAATAGAATCACAGAAATGGAGATCACGTGGAGGGTTATCAGTAACGAGAGGGAGAGGGAAGAATGGGGGAAAAGGTACAGGGAATAAGGAGTATAAATTGGTAAGTACAAAATAGGGGGAGCTTAAGAATAGTATAGGAAAAGGAGAAGCCAAAGAACTTATATGTATGACCCATGGACATGAACTAAGGGGGAGGAATGGTGGTATGATGGGGGGTGCAGAGCAGAGGAGAATAAAGAGGAGAAAAATGGGACAACTGTCATAGCATATTCAATAAGATATACTTAGAAAAAAAGAAAAGTGAAAATAGTTACTGCTTTGGCTGCATTTTAATAAGGTATTGCTAATGGATGCATGTTTGGTAGAAATAAGGAAAGCTTGTTTAGCTGCTTTTAATACAAGATGACAAAATCAGTAGAGCAAGTTTTAACACAACAAACTGAAGAATGGGACCCTTTTATTACAATAATGCTGCACCATGGATTTCTATGGTGATACACTTTTTCTAAAATATCTTCACATCCAGAAGCTCATTAACATGAATGAATCAGGTAGAAGAGGCACTATTCACTGCCACATGAAAAACAGGAAATCCAGGCACCCAGCACAGTGTCTGATGATAGCAGGCATTCAATAAGGATTTGTTAAGTGAAGCAAAGCCATAACAAGTCAAAGAACATGAGCAGGGGGGAACATCCAGAAGCCCTTCCCACAACCCATTTTTAGAGGAGGAATGTCAGGGCAGAGTAGGGAAGTCCTGGACTTCAATGCAAGGTTAATTTGTTAGTCAGTGGATGAAGGACCCAAGTAAATAGTCTATCCTTTCCCCCTCCCCCGACACAGAGTATCATCATAACATCCAGTACATTGCTTTCTGTTGGTTTGTGTTTTTATTTGTCCTCACCACTGGACCATATGCTCCTGGGGGTGAAGCTTGTGTCTGATTAATTTAGTAGGATGTAGCACAGTTATTAAAACTTGTAGAACAGATGAATAGGATCTGGAAGCTCTCTGCTTTTCCTGGGTCTTTGTTCCTTCTCATTCTGCCACAGATTTTGATGGCAGAGTCAGGACTCAATCACAGTTTCCAGGCTTCAGGGATCTTTTGCTTATATCACAGTGTGCATACTTATCAAGGTCGGAGGCCCTAGATGTCCCTGGATGATTGTTTCAGACCTCTCAGGACCCTGGGATAATCCCTTACCACTGTTTTATTATGGAAGGGTCTAGAAGATGAGGGAAAGAGGGAGTTTTTCTTAGTTCAAAGCCTAAGGTCAGTCTATCCACTTTCTGTGAAGTGTCAAGTGTATCTTGCACACCAGGGATTTCTGTCCTTTGCTGTGTTGTCCATGTCCCAGATGGAGGTGTTCTGGAAACAGTGCCTAGAGGGAACTGTGCCCTTTAATGTTAGGACCTGAAAACAATGGGGGCAGAAAGATATGATGGGATTTTCAAGGGGTTCTGAAATATTTCCTTTTGTATGTTGTTTTGCTCTTCTGGGGTCTTCCATTTGTTCCTGAACACATATTTGGGGTAAAGCAGAGGAGGTCCTATATTGGTCCTTCTTATGCCTCCATAATAGTGCAGCAATCCTGCAAATTGCATATGGCAGGTACCCAGGCCAGTGCATGGAGGCTCTGTCTACAGGCACAGAAGGGGAGGTATGCGGAGATTAAATCTAGCTTGTGAAGCATGGTTTAGACTCCAGTGTCTGCCTCCTGTGTTCTGGTTCTACCAAGTGTTGAGCAGCCCCCCATGGCCTCTTTCCCACTTGAGCTTCCACTACCTGTATCACATATCAACTCCAAGACCCTTATGTTGGACCCTGCAACCTCTCCAGCCTGTTAATGGCTTGGTTTTCTCTGACTCATTTTCTCTCCACTCCATGCCAGTGAGATTCACAGAGTAAAGAGCGCAAAAGGACTACATTGGAAAGCTCAATGTCAGATGATGGTCATGTTACCAGCAACTCTACTCCTCCTGACTTAAAAGCAGTTTCCACACAACCTAAGAGCAAAGCCAGATGGTTTTGTCACCTTGTTTGCTTTGTGTCCCCCATATCCAAGAGGCCAAGGAAAGGTATGAATGCTCAGAGGTCACCCAGGCAGCCTTAAGTGCCCATGTGAAGGAGCTAGTAGCATTAGGAGTGTGAGAAGCACCCTTGGCATTCCCCCCTGGGGAAGCCAGTTCAAGTCCTCCAGCATCATCATGGCAGGGTGGTTGGTGAGTCTCTTCCTTCCCATCTTTGCTGGAGGTGAGTCTCTCTAGTCCTCTGAGGTGGCATCTACTGCCCTAGGGGATTCAGTGGGATGTGTGAAGGTACAAAGCTGTGCAGGTCTGGATGAAGAAGGATGACATTGGAGATGATAGTGCAGAAGAGGATCAAAGCAGAATATCATGACATGGCAATGTGCTGAAGTTCTCAGGGCAACCTACTCGTGGGAGTGGAAAGAGGGAGCTGTATTATGAAATTCCACTTCTGTAATAACTGAAGCTTTGTTCTTATTTACAGTGAGTGATCAATGAGGAAGCTGATTTTCAAAGTGGTATCTCTGGATGGTGAAACAGGAGCTTCCAAGAGTGGGCCTTATCTGGGGGTTGGCAAAGGCCCCCTCAGAAGTTTGTAGGTGAGCTAAGCCCTGTCAGGGTAGAGGGCTGGTGAATATCATTCAGTCATGTCTTCAGGCTATAGGCGGCAGCTAGGAACTTTTCCCCAAATAGTCACTGAGGGTCATGTCAGGGAGAATTGAGGATGACAATGGGAAGGATCCTTATAACTAAATCTTGTTTAGTTCCTTTCTTATCACAAGTCACTCAGGTCCATGACATTGTTTTGTCCCACTTTAGACAAACCACAACTTCTTTTCCCTAGCCTGAGAGGTAAGATGGGAGTAGATACTGCCCCCATCTCACCCATCCCCCTGTCTCCAGCCACATGATCAGCACACTTACCTGCACCAGGTCTGGCGTGAGACGCTTGGCCTGCAGCCATTTCTGGAATCTTCCTGTTTTTCTTAGGACATGCTCAATGCTGCATGTTTTGGGGGCTGCTGCAGAGGCACAGATTCTTCGGTCTGAGATTTCATTCTGGTGTTTGCTGATCAGCCTCCATATCTCCACAGGACGCCAGGTTTTAGAATCATCTGAGTAATTTGCAGGATAAGAAGGCAAGTACTCCAAAGGTAGTTTGAGGTCGGAGGCCAGCCAGTTGTCAAACCTGGAAGAAGAGTCCTTTTAGTATCTACCTGGGAGATGGAGGGATGAAGCAGGGGCCAAGCAGAGACTAGTCACAACACTGCCAGAGCCACAGGCCAGCAGAGTCCTGGGGGACAGTGAGACAGGGCACAACATTTGGTCTGATCCATTTCTCATTTTTAGATTGGGATGTTCCAGACTCTTTCAATGAGAGGGCTACTTTTGTTTCCTCAAACTTAGAGAAGTGTATATATGATGTCAGAATAAGTGAGGAAGGTGCATGTCACACACAAACTTTATTCTTCTAACACCCCATCCCCACTTTATAGATGTGGAAACTGAAGCTTATAGAGTTTAAGTACCTTGCCAAAGGTCATACAGTATGTTGTCAAACAGGGGTGCAAACCCAAAGCCCTCTGTCAGCAAAACCCATGATCTTTCCCCTTCCCTACACTGATTGCAGAAACAGCCCATCCTATGACCAATAGCTGGGTCTTGGAACTATAGTTCTTAAAGAGGCCTGCACTGGGGAGACCACTGACTCTCCATATCCAACTCCAAGCAACCCCATCAATTTTGCTTTCAGTTCATCTAAAGATGTAAGTCATCAGTACCAATCAAGTCACAGGGAATAGTGGCTGCTAAATGGTCACCAAATTAAAAGCCACCTGGAATCCATGAGATGTGTAATTCCAAACAATGGCTGGTCAGTCCTTAATCCTCCCTAGGGGAGAAGCATTGACTTATTACTACCTATTACCATCCTAAACCCCACCTTGGTCTTTTTCTTCAGTCATTTCTCCAAATATGTGCAGATATTTCCATGAGTAAAGAATGTTAAATCTTCTTCTGATTTATGTATAAAAATTACTGAGGTAAAATTTACCTTCATTATTATTAGTAATTGAGGATCATACTAAAAATGAAAATTAGGCTTATAAGACACATTATATATTTAATTTAAATAAGCATCTTTAAATTCTTATTAATGAGTATTTTTGGGCAGCTTCAGGATAATAAATTTAGGAAGAATTAGCCCTTTTATTAGCCCTAAACCGTACGTTATTTTGTTTCCTCATTTATATAACACAGCTTTATCCTAAGAGACTGCAAGTTTTTCAAAAAAGGTGCTCTAGTGGAAACAGTTGATAAGCACATTCTGCAATTCAGGACCATTCAAACTGCCATGGAAGGAGGCACAAAGAATTCTGTTCAAGAACATTGCCAAAAATTTAGTTTAAAAGATGAAACACTGTGAACTTGCAATGAGTCAATTTTATTGGAATTTTCAGGACAACCATGGGAAATGATCCTTTCTTCTGGGAGGATAAGGAGGGGCCTAGGTCTCTGAGGCAAATTCTGCCTGTTTCCTGCAGCTCTTCCTGCTCATGGAAGTTCAACCTCTTCCTTCCACCCCTCCCCACACAAAGTACCTATGACTAAGGAATTACAACTTGGTGGCTCTCTTAATGATTATAGCAACACACATTTATGAAACACACATGCCAGTCATTTTGCTAAATGCTTTCTATATATCAATTCAATTAAACTTTTCAACAAACCTATGAGGTCAGTACTATTATTAACCATACAGATGAGGGAACTGAGACACATAGAAGTTAAATAATTTGCCCAAAGTCTTACAACCAGGAATTGGAAGAAGCAACATTCAAGGCTCCAAAGCTTGCAATTGTAACCATTTTGCCATTGCTTAGTCCTCTATCAGTCATTTTATAAATTAGTTCTTGGGAACAGATTGGTGACATTATCAGGGATTATAACCATAGGTCCTTAAAAATCATTTGGTCTCTGCCCCCTTCCACATCATATTTTGATGAGAAAATTGAAGGCTACTTGTCTGATGAGTGAGTCACAGACAATTAATGGCAGAGGGGGACAGATCTCAGGGCCTCTTATCTTCCAGTTGCTGGGGGTGGTGTCAGGAGGAATTTGCTTCCCTGTGGGACAAACTCATTGACTTTTTTTCTGTCCCCATTTCATGAGGAGGCCCCACTTAAAGGACAGCCCTGACTTGGTAGGTAACCTATAATGGATGTTTGGTGCATGTTTAGTAGTGGCTAAAGGCATCCCATAAGAATCAATTCAGGACAATCAAGTTTACAAGCCACATTTCTCCCTCATTCAAAATGGTAATAAGTTTATGGCACTGCATGGGAAAAATGTATGTTCTTAAAACTTTGATTACCTACTTTACTGAATAGAAGAATGTCAGTGAGAAAATGGACCCTGCTCTTTATTCACTGGACTATATCCATTTTTATTTCATTCTAAGATATGTTAATATCCTGGAATTTGGAAAACCACAAAACACAGGTAGCATTATAATCTTTCTTCTGAACTGAGATCATGGGCATATTTAAAGTGAGGCTGGCCAAGACCTCATTGAGTTGAAATATGAAAAAACAGGGTAATAGTTTCCCAGAGCTGGAAGGCAGGATGGGAGGGTGGGGGAGAGCAACAGCACTGAATGAGGATAAAATGCCCTCTTCTCTTGTATACTTCTCATGTTTGCATAGAGTCAAAGAATAATTCTGAAGACATGCATTCCTAAATATTTCTTGCCTCTCTTCCCCCTTTATCTTTTAGCTTTGCACAGAACCCTTAAAACATCCAGCATTTTCCCAAAGCTCCCAGGACACAGTTCATACTTCTTAGAGCAGCTCATAATGCTCTTTCTAGGACCATCTCCTGTTACTCTCCTTAAAAGTTTGCTTTGGTCTCACTAAGCCATTCACAATTCTTGGCTAAGTCACATTGTTTTGGGCTTCTGTGCCTCCACTCACCTTGTCATGTGCTAATATCTTTGTCTAAGGCACTTTCTTCCTATTTCTTGCCTGGACAATTCCTAACCAACCCCTTAAAAACCAGATAGGTATCATCTCTTCTGATTCTCACTCCTTCATCTCTTAGTTGGGATGAAATTTTCCTCCAACATGCTCTCATGATATCCTGTGTATTTTCTATCATTCTCATGCTCTGCTTTAACCATTGGTTTATGTCTCTGCATTTCCAATAAAAAGTAACCTCTTCAGTGCCTAGTAGAGTGCTTAACACCAAGTTAGTGATAAATACATTTTAGTTGGGTTGATGGATGGATGGATGAAAGGGTGTTTGGATGTACAGATGGATAAGTGAGTAAAGGGATAAATGGAGGACTAGGTAGATAGGATGCACAGAGTGATGGTTGGGTGAAAGAATGCATGTAAGGATGCTTGGGTGTGTGGGTGGATGGATGGATGGATGGGTGCATGTATGGAAAATTGATTGAATGTGTAGATGGATCTTTTTGCTATAAGCTCTGGGCCTTGCTGCTCCCAACACCTTGAATTGATTTGAGGAAGTGAGTTAGAATGATAATTACTCATCTTCTGAGGTGAAGGAGACCAATGACGGCAAGGGAGAAGGGAAGGCAAATTCAAGCCCAATGAATTACTTATTTTAATGTGAGTCCTCTACCACTCAGAAGTATTTAGACATTCTTTAAGAATTTGGTATTAGGATTAGGGATGTAAGGCCAAGTGGGTATAATAAGGAAAGTGAGGTAAGGCATCTGTCCTAGTAATAATTTAGGAATCCCTAGGAGTGATTCTGACCAGAAATACTACCACTAAGTACTCTTTCCCCTCCCATCTTTTACCTGCTCATGCACAAATACTGATCAATCACATCCTGGTACATCTCGCCACTTGCTGCGGTCATTTAGGATTTTACATACAGGTATATTTTCAGTAGGAAGAATATGTCAATCAGTTTTATTCATTTTTCTAGCTTCCCTTAACTTTTTCATTCAGGATTTAAAAGTCAACATGGAATGCATGGGAAAATTGATACTGAAAACATTCAAAGGTCAATGGTTGAGTATAGAAAACATCAGATTTGTTGTTAACCAAAGAAAAGATAAGGAAAAAAAGGAAAGGTGACATTCATCTACCAATCATGTGTCTTCAGCCTACCCAGTCATCATAAGAAGCTAATTCTCCATTTGTTTCTCAACAACAAGCATTGTCTAATCCTTAGTGAAGACCAGGCATAGGGTATTATTAATGCTTGCCTGACTATATCATTTCAGCCAAATGTCTGAGAGTTCTGGATAGTTTTTCTCCTAAGATATCATAATCATTTTTAAAAGTGGAGAAATATGCCATGACTGGTGTGGCTCAGTGGATTGAGTGCTGGCCTGCAAACCAAGGGGTCACTGGTTCAATCCCCAGTCAGGGCACATGCCTTGGTTGTGGGCCAAGTCCCTGGTGGGAGGCATGCGAGAGGCAACCACACATTGATGCTTCTCTCCCTTTCTCCCTTCCTTCCTCTCTCTCTAAAGATAAATAAAATCTTTTTAAAAGTGGAAAAAGGTTTGGAGATTTAAATAGGAACAAGATGAACTAATGCACCATTAGAAAGAGGGGCAAAGGATGAAAACTCATAGACAATTTAGCAAAGAAGAAATACAAATGGTAGATAAGCCTGAAAAAGAAAAGGACCCAACTCAGAGAAATACAGAGCAAAATAGTAGTAATATTAAATATTTGTGGGTGTGCAAGAGGTGAGCTCTATAGGTAGAAGTTTCCATTTGGATATCTATCTAGCATATATATTTCTAGGTCAAAAATTATAAGCCTTTTCGCATTTATATGATTGACAGATTTTAGGAGTTTGTCATAGGAATTAATCACTGATATACAAAAGTGTAGCCACAAGAATAATCAACACAGCACTGTTTATAATACTGAAAAGTGAAAAAAAAAACATAGTTGTCACACAACAGTGGATTAGTTCAATAAACTGGTTGATTGATGCAATTGAATATCAGAAAGCTATTCAAAATAAAGTTGTGAAAAGGTGTTTCCAAAATATTTTTAAATAAAAGTTTACAGCCCAACTGGTATGGCTCAGTAGATTGACCGCTGGCCTACAAGCCAAAGGGTGGCTGATTCAACTCCCAGTACAGGGCACATGCCTGGGTTTCAGGCCAGGTCCCAGCAGGGGGCGCGTGAAATGCAACCACACATTGATGTTTCTCTCCCTCTCTTCCCCTCTCTAAAAATAAATAAATAAAATATTTTTTTTACAAAGAAAGAAATATGCAACCCATTAAGAAATTTTGAAATAGTAACACACAAAACATTAATATTTAAATAAAAGTTTACAAAAGAGTGTACATAGTATTACATTTTGTTGAAAAAATATTATCCATCAGGAAAAAAAGGTGACAAGCATCAAAATGTTAACAAAGGGATGATCTCTTGGTGGAGGAGTTATATGTGATTTTTATTTTGTGCTTTCTTTAGGCAATATTTCCTGAAGATTCTAAATAAACAAATATTACTTTCAAAAATAAGAAAAATGTTATTTAAAATGTAGAGAAAAGGACTATAAACAAATCTACACCCCAGACCTACTGACTGTCTCTCTCTGCTCTTTTTGTGATAAGGAATGTGCATTTTTCCACACAGAGAGCTCTAAACCCCAACCTGCCCCGCCCGGTGGTTTCCTGCTTGCATCAGCACACTTCCCTTTCAGACACACATGGAAAGTGAATTCTGAGGGAACTTAAGTAATATCCTGAATTTGAATGGCACAGACTTATTTGGGGAAATGCTTTCTGAATTTGGCCAATACCTGCCTGGTGAGAAAAACTTCATTTACTGCCGCTTGGTGAAGAGCCAACTGTAAGATTCATATACTCTTTGCTTACTTATCTGGAAGAGGATGTGAACCTGGAGCCCTTCCTTCGTTGAATCCCTTAATTTCTTTCTCTTCTATCTTAAAACATGTCCATATTCTCACTGCCTCCTTTCTCCAAAGAATCAGCCTCACATTACCTGTGTTCTTAATCTTCTCCATCCTCTTTCTTAGGTGGAAAATCTTGACCACTTTTGATACCTCCATCTTTACTTCCTCTCACATTGATAGAGTTGGAAACAAAATGACTCTCTAGCTGAATCTACTAGTGTCTTTCCTGTCCTGCTTTGTTACCAATGACCTTTCTCCTGGTCTAAAAGAGCTAGTTTGACAGCCCCTGCCAGCATCAGGGTCTACCCTGTACACTTCTTTCCATAAGGTCTTTTCAAAACACAACTGTCATCTTGTCCCTACCACACTTAACTTCCTCATCATTACCTGCAATGGAGCTTCCCCAATTGTGTGTCTGTTGGGGGAGGGAAATGGGAGGGTATGGTGGGATGGGTGGGTTCAAATTCCAAATGCCTTAAAAAAGGACTAATAAAGAAAGTCCACATCAACTCCATTCAATATCTATCATCTTGCAAAGGAAGTTCAACACTTTTGATTGATATTTTCTACTTGATATTTCTGTTTAGTAACTTAGTTGAATAATCAAATATGCCTTTGGTTAATACAGACTGGAAATAAAATGACTATAAATTAATGCTTTTTGTTTAGTCACTAAATCTTACACACCTGATTGGGGTGTAGTCTTTGGGGTTGGGAAAAGGAGAAGATACCTATTACGAAGGGTCTTTAGTGTTGAAAAGGCTGGGAACCAACTTGTATCACAGGTTAAGATCTCAATTCCTGGGCACAGTATTCAAGGCTTCCTGTACCATCTGACTCTTCCAAACCTCCTCCTTCTGCCACGCCTCCACATACACCCCATGCTCCAGTGTCTAAGCATTTTTCACCTCTTCCCATGCCTCTGGGTCTTTGCTTAAGTTGGTTCTTCTACCTTAAGCCTCTCCCTTCCCACTAAATTTCATCTCATCCTTTAAGGCCTTGCTCAGAATGCCTTCCCCTGGAGAAACCTTTCTCCAGTCCCCATTTGGAATTAATATCCCTTTCCTTGAGCTCCCAGAGGTCCTTTACACTTCACATCTGGCCCGTATCAGACCAGGCCTTATTATTTGTAACACAGCTTTCTCCTCCTAAACCCCTTGAGGGCAATGACCAGAGTTATAGAGATGCTGCTACAGAATCTGCTGGATCTTGGCCATGTTAAAGGCTCATTGACTGTGTGTTGACATGCTTGAATTCCAGAGTGTGATTCCATTTTTTTGGTGAGAGCCATGTGCATCACAATTTACTAAACTTGACTTTTGTTCTGATCAAAGTAACATCTCACAACAGAAAACTAGTTTAGAAACTTTGAAGCAAGCCACCCTAGCTTGAATCCCATATCTGCCACTTATTAGGTGGTGGCCTTGGGCAAGACACTTAATCTTGTTATGTCTCAGTTCACTATCTGAATAATGAGTGAAAAACACTAACTCCTAGGATGGTTGTGAGGAATAAATAAAAAAAGCTTAAAAATGTCTGTCACATAGTAAGCTTTTTATAAATTTTACTTTCCTCCCACTATGAGAAATGAACTTGGATAATGCAATAGTCTCAGGCAACTCCATTCATAAAAAAAGAAAATTTCAGTCCTTGTTGGTATGTCTCTGTGGATTGAGCACTGTCCTTTGAACCAAAAGGTTACTAATTTGATTCCCAGTCAAAGCACATGTCTGGGTTGCAGGCTATGTCCCTGGTTGGGGGCGTGCAAGAGGCAAATGATCAAAGTATCTCTCTCACATCAATATTTCTCTCTCTCTCTTTCTTCCTCCCCTTCTCTCTGAAAATAAATTAATTAAGTCATTAAAAAAAGAAAGCTTTAAGTTCTAACTTTAGAAGGACACTTTGGATTTAGCATTTAGGGCTGTAATTTGGCTTCACATCTTACCCTCCTCTCCATCCCAACTTCAACCCATCACTACTATGATTAAATGGCTTTGCTTCAGCTCCCTCCTATAAATTACATCCTGGCTCATTTTCAACAAACTCCTGGACATCTTTACATCATGGGAACACAATTTTGCCCTTCAGAATTAGCTGATTGAGATTCTGACCTTATTTCTTCTTTAAAAAACTTCTTGCAAATAGATGTTCCAATGCAGGCATTGCATTTATCAAGGCCGAGGAAAGTCCTTCCAAAATTGTAGCTGGTTCTGACTCGGGGCACCAGAGAAGGAGAAGGAGGAGCTGACGAAGAGACAAAACAGCTCAGGGCTGAGACCCAAAGCAGCAGGGCTGGCCAGCCTGGGTGGAGAGCAGCAGCCTCAGGCCCCAGCCAGGGCTCCATCGGGGCCCAGGACTCCAACTGCAGCTTTCTGCTGTCTGTTCAGGTCTGTTCTAAGGCAGGTCTTGGAAAAAGAAAGGGGCTGGCTTTAGGGTGTTGACCCCATCCCAGTCTTCCAGATTTCTGTTTGAGGATGCCAAGGAGCTTGAGGCTAACAAGTCTGGGGAGGAGGGGAGGAAGTCCATGGAGGATGCTGATAACACCGTTTCCAGAGTTACTCTTCCTCTGCTTGTGGTGGCTACTGCACACTGGGAGGGGCTGACTGGCAGATTTTGGAAAGGACAATGGTTAAAGCTTCCCTGTGCAGCCCTTTTGACAAACACGGGATATCCTGGCTAAGCAGGAAAGTCCATGCAGGATGTACATCCGACCTGGGTTCCACCTGGGAGTTTCAAAGGACTGTGAGGAACTCCGCCCTTTGTTGTTTTAATTCTGGATCTCCGTATCCCTATGGATCACACACATGAGCGCACACACACACACCAATTTCCCCCCAGTGGATAATTTACAGTGGATAATTTGGTCTGCCTCTTAACCAGACATTCCTCTTCCATTTCAACCATATTTTAGATGTGAAATAACCAGAGGTCAATGCTTAGGGAATAGAAAAACTCAAGTTAGTCCATGCTTCAGTTCCTCTTTCTTATCTGAGAAGAAGAGAGGATAAAGAACTTGGTGGCCTCTGGTTGGATGAGGAAAACAGCAAGAAGATCTCACTACCTGAACCCAGCTGTGTTCAACCCATGCATTCCCATGCCTGAAAGTCCCTCCTTGCTTTATCACTTTTCAGTGGCTGGCTTGATTTGGTGAGATTTAACTGCCCCAGGAGTACCTTCTTCCTGACAGCAAGATAAGGTCCACAGCATGGAGTAGATGGGAGTGCTAATTTAGGAATAAAGAGAGCCTATGAGGACTAAATCAGGGAAGGCATGTTTAGGCTGGGAGAAGGAAAGAAGGAGGAAAGAGGGGGCCAGGGATGGCTTCAGGAGAATTGGGGAATTTTGTAAAGGGTAGTGGGAAGAGCATGGTAACGGCAGTTTTCTGATGGCTAAGCATGTGCTTACTAGCCAACTGCACATCCTCCTCAGTCAAATGTCTGGTGGTGTTTATTTTTTATTACTGAATTGTGAGAATTCTTTGTACATTCGCTAGTCCTTTGTTGGATATGTGCCTTGCAAATATTTTCTGCCAGGTGGTAACTTGTTGTTCATCTTCTTAACAGGGTTTTTCTGAGAGTAAAGTTTTTTATGTTGATGAAGTTCAATTTGTCAATTTTTTGTTGTATGGATCATGCTTTTATTATCAAGTGTAAGAACTCTTTGCCTAACTCTAAGTCTCAAAGACTTTCTTCTATAGTTTCTTATGCTGTAAATATTTTACAGTTTTATATTTTACATTAAAGTCTATGATACATTTTGAATTAATTTTTGTATAAGATATCATTAGGTCAAGGTTATATTTATGCTGATGGAAGGCCAACTGTTACAGCTCCATTTATTGAAAAGACTGTCCTCCTGTTGAATTGGTTTTATACCTTTGTCAAAAATCAGTTGTCTCTACCTGTATGTGGATATGTTTGGGTTCTCTATTCTGTTCTATTGATTTATGCGCCTATTCCTCTGTCAATAACACACCACAGTCTTGATTATTATAGCTGTAAAATAATCTTGAAACTGAGTAGAATTTTTCCCACTTCCTGTTTTTTAAAACTATTATGGTGATTTGAGTTCATCTGTCTTTTCATAAAAATTTTATTTTTTTAAAATTGTATTTTATTAATTATGTTATTACAGTGGTCCCAATTTACCCCCTTTGACTCCCTCCACCCAGTGTCCTCTACTCCCTCAGGCAATCCCCCCACCATTGCTCATGTCCATGGATCATGCTTACAGGTTCTTTGGCTTCTCCATTTCCTACATGGTACTTTACATGCCCATTGCTATTCTTTACCAATTTGTACTTCTTAATCCCTTCACGTCTTCACCCATCCCCCCACACCCCACTCCCATCTGGCAACCATCAAAATGCTCTCCATATTCATTATTCTGTCTCTGTTGCTCTTTTTTGCTTAGTTTGTATTTTTAGATTCAATTGTTGGTAGATTTGTATTTTTTGCCATTTTATTGTTCACAGTTTTGATCTTCTTCTTTTTCTTTCATAAGTCCCTTCAGTATTTCATGTAATAATGGTTTCGTGATGATGAACTTCTTTAGTTTTTTCTTGTATGGGAAGCTCTTTATCTGTCTTTCTATGTAAAATGATAGATTTGCTGGGTAGAGCAATCTTGGCTGTAGGTCCCTGCTTTTCATTACTTTGAATACTTCTTGCCAATCCCTCTAGCCTACCAAATTTCTTTTAAGAAAACATCTGACAGTCTTATGGGAACTGCCCTGTAGGTAACTTCTTTTTTCTTAGTGCCTTTAAGATTCTCTCTTTCTCTTTTTCTTTTTATATTTATTTATTTTTATTTACTTTTTAATTTATAAATCCTATTTATTCTATTACAGTTCTCTCAATTTTTCCCCCTTTACCCCCCTCCACCCATCTCACCCCCACCCCCCACTCCCACAGTCAATTCCCACTCTGTTGTCCATGTCCATGGGACATTCATACATGTTCTTTGTCTAGTCCCTTCCCCTTCTTTACACCATTGTCCTCTTTCCCCCTCCCCTCTGGTCATTTTAAGTTCGCTCCATGTTTCCATGCCTGTGTTTTATTTTATTCATTAGTTTATTTTGTTGAATAGAGTCCACTTATAGGTGAGATCATATGGTATTTGTCTTTCATCGACTGGCTTGTTTCACTTAGTTTAATATTCTCCAGTTTCATCCATGTTGTCACAAAAAATAGCAATTTCATCTCTCTCTCTTTCTTTCTTAAATGCAAGTTGATTTTATTTATTTTTTAAATGTCAAAGTTAATTATATTAAAAAATTTAAAACCCTTATAAAGTCTCAGTAATTAAACCAACATGACACCAGTACAGAAATAATCAAGTAGATCAATGAAACATAATGAACATTCTAGCCACAAATGTATATATCTGTCTAACAATATATGATTAAGTTGATATTTCAAGTCAATGGGTAAAATAAGGCTTATTCCACAAATAAGGTACATGGACCACTATTACTTGAAATAAAACAAATATAGAACCATATTTTACACAGTATACAAGAAATATTCAGGTGAGTTAAAAATCAACAGAGACAAGAGGGAAGGGGGGGGCAGGGAAAGGGAAGGGAAGGGGAAAGTCAAGGAACATATAGCAAGGACTCATGGACAAAACCAAAGGGGAAGAGCTGAGGGAGGGAAGGTGGGAGGGGGCAAGGGAAAGAGGGGGGGAAGGCAGAGACAAATGTATTTAAAAAGTAAATAAATTAATTAAATTTAAAATAAATAAATAAATAAATAAAAAATCAATATGTAGAATCTAAGGAGTTTTAGAAGAAAATAGAACTAATATTTTTCATGACCTGAAGTAAAATATTCAAACTCAGAAGCTGTAAATATTGACATTATGACTATATTAAGCATTTAGCTATATAGTAATATACATATAAAAAAGTTAAAGGCCCAGGAATAGAATAGAAAAGTATTTGCAACACATCTAAAATATGGTGAATAGGTTTTTTTTTAAAGTTCTACAAACCTTTAATCAATAAATGGATAAAGAATACCGAGAAGTCACTTAAAGCTTTTTTTAAAAAAATAATAAAAATTGGCAAGAAATATACTAAAACAGGTTTAGTTTCAACAAATAGTGAGGAACAACTAAAATAACATCATTGTCACAATCAGATTAATGAGTATTAAAACTATTGGTAATATCAAGTATTGGCAACTGTGAAAGGAACTGGGTATTCATAGAAACATTTTCTTCATCTTAAAGCAGTCCCTTTAGCATATTTTGCAGTGCTGTTTTGGTGTAGATGTATTCTTTTAGCCTTCTTTTGTCTGGGAAACTCCTTATTTTGCCTTCCATTTTAATTGAGAGCCTTGATGAGTACAGCAGTCTTGGTTGCAGGCCTTTGCTTTTCAAGACTTGGAATATTTCTTGCCATTTCCTGCTGGCTTGCAGTATTTCTGTTAAGTCAGATGCTAGCCGTATCGGGGCTCCCTTATATGTTACTACCTCTTTCTTCCTTGCTTGCTTTAGGATTCCGTTTGTCTTTGATATTTGTCATTTTAATGATGATGTGTCCTGGGGTGGGCTTCATTGGGTTCCTTTTGAATGGGACCCTCTGTGCTTCCTGGACTTGTGTGCCTTTTTCTCTCCTCCATTTGGGAAGTTTTCCATCATTACTTTTCAAACAGGTTCTCTATCCCTTCCTCATCCTCTTCTCCTTCTGGTATCCCTATTATATGGATATTAGTACGTTTCAGGTTGTCCTGCATTTCCCTCAATGCCTCTTAATTCTTTTTGAGGTTTTTTCATTTTCTTGCTCTTTCTGGGAGCTTTCTTCTACCTTGTCCTCCAGCTCGCTGATTCAGTCCTCAGCTTCATCTAGCCTGCTTTCGATTCCTTCTACTGTGTTCTTCAATTCAGAAATGGTGTTCTTCATTTCCTCTTGTCTCTTATGGATAGTTTCTATGTCCTTTTTCATGCTGATAGAGTTTGTAGTAAGTTCCTCATAGTTTCCCTGTAGTTTTTGGTAATTCTCTCTGAGCTCACTGAGCTCATTGAGCTTCCTTAGAACTGTTGTTTGGAACTCAGTATCTGATAGTTGACTTGCCTCTATTTCATTTAGTTCTCTTTGTGGGTATTCCTCCTTTCCACTCAAGTGGGGGGTATTTTTTGTCTTCCCACTAAACTCTTCTTTTCTGCTTCTGCTTCTTAAGTTGATCTGTCTTGATTTTCTGACTTTGTGGTGTGAACTTCTATGGTTGGAGACTGCTGTTTTTTACTTTCTGGATCTGCCTCTGATGATGTCAGATGTTGACCCTGTCCGACCTTAGGCAGTCTGTTTGAGACTTCCAGTAATCTACTGTTTATGGCTGTTTCCTTCAGCTGTTAATCTATTCTCTCTGCACTCAGCAGGCTGCCTTAGACAGCTCAGGGCAGGGTGGAGTCCTTCCTGGGGGCGGAGTTATTGTGTCCTTTCATGTTGCTGC